GGAGCACCCCAGAGAAAGGTAATGACCCCTCAGCCTCTTTCAACACTTCAAAGACTGAATTACTTTTGGTGGGAGAGGTAAGAAAATTGAATTGCAGTACATGATTTTCTGGCTTTCCAGTAACCCTCTTTGTAAGGTCATCATCTTAGTAACAAGAAAACAGGAAACTGGTAAACACACACAAAAAGTATTCAGATTCTGATTTAAGGCTGTTACTGTCCTTAACTCCTCAGAGCTAAAACCAGAAAGTTGCCCATTGCTTGGAGGCTGCTGTCGTACCCGAGGGACTGCAGGGCCAAGGAACGCGAGAGAACGAATCTCAGCTTTCTGTCCTGCTGCATTTACTGATTTACATGAGTCTTTTGAAACGAGCCTTTGAGTAAATGCAAAACGGGTAGTGATGGGGTGAGCTCCTCTCAGAGGGGCAGGGAGCCTTCCTGGGCTGAGACTAGGCTTGCTTCGATGACCACTCCAGATTGTAGCTCCCGTGAGCAGAAAGGTAAGAGCGCAGGGAACAGGAGGGTTGCTGGGCTGCTGCTGAGAGACCCTCCAATCAACTCTAACAGAAGTAGCATTTACTTAAGACAGAGAAGTTGGATTCTTCCATTCTGCTTATCTCTTTCTGTCCACTTTATTTTTTTTCTGCCTGCTTTGTTTTGGCTTTTTAGAGCTTGCATAGGATTTGCTTTCTTCTGCTTTTGCACCGCGTGTGCAAGTTGGTCTTAGTAAGCGTTATTATCCGTCTGGGCATTGCGCTGCACTGCACTGTGCTGGCAGCAGAGGGAGCACAAGGCTGTGGGTTTGTGCCTTTAAAAAGCAGTGTGATGGTATTGCTTAATTTCTTGGCAGTGAAGCAACAGTTGTTGTTTTCTTTAATTTTTTTTTTTTTTTTGAAAGCTAAAAAAGCCTGCTTCATGTGCATCCCGAGGAATAATTTCAGGCATGGAATGCATCTTCAAGCTGGCCACTGAGATGCTACTAATCAATGTAAGAAGTAGCTTTTGGTGTTATTTTATTAATGCCGACAGGTGTGTTGACCAGCACCTTGTAAAAGCCCTTAACTATGGCAGTGAAGGGTACACAGAATCCTTCTGCTGAGGCCGTGGTGGCATGAAAATTCTTTCTGCGCCTTGTGATGGACTTTCTGATGCTGTGAGGTACTGCGGCAGCCTCGTGACTGCAAAGGAGGGATGGTCTCATCTGTGCATCTTTGGAGCCTCTATCTCTGTAGCGTCTAATTGCTAAAGTGCTCAGTCCTAAATTACAATTATCTTTTGATGAACCTAGTGATGTGGATGGCTTTTGAATCTGTTGAATCTGGATTGAAGTAATTACATGAATAATGAAGAGAATTAATTTAATTTGGAAACTCCTTTTCAGTTATGTAGATAGAATTGGGTGTTTCTGTTTCCTCCTTCTCTGTAAAGAAGAGTTGTTGCTATCAACATATCCTTTTCCTGTTCTAATGAAGCTTAAAGAAAAAGACATGAGTCCCTTGAACTGTGGAGGTGTATGAGGACAGAAATACTTGGGAAAAGGAAGAAAGAGCTGGAACTGGATGGTGGAGGGTAATGTTTGGTGCAGATCCGTTCTGGACCTCCTAAACTTGGGAGGTTCAGAAGAAGGGACTTCTTTGCTGAAGTGGGTGTCCTGAGAGCAGTACCAGATGATAACTGCTGCTTAAGGATGAACAGGAGGACATTTATCAACACGTGTCGAGTAGAGCCTTAGGAATATTAGGCACTTTTGAAAATGTGACTCAAATTGATTGACTTTGCAGTCTCACTGGAAGTCAGTGGAATCAAAACTCCTAAGCCACCTTGGTGTTCTCTCTGGGAAGCTGGCAGGATGAGGCTTAAGATGTCCCTTGATGTTCCGCAAAAGATTCACTGTTCTTTTGCAAAGCCCATCTGGAGGGCAGCTAAGATGAGCAAATATCTCCATCTCTTCTGTCCCGCCTTCTGACTCAGCTGAGCCGATATTCTGGAATAGGACAGTGCTCTTGCGGCTCAGGTGTCAGAGACCCTAGAATCAGCCCATTTACCTTAAGTTTGAAATTCATAAAAAACCCCAGTGAGCCTGGCTCCAAAGAGGATGCAGAGAAGCAGCTTTAAGCTGAAAAAGTAAAAAATGGCTTTTTCTAACCAGTGGTGCTGGCAGAGGCAGATGGCTTGTGCTCTGTAAGCACTCATTGCTGCTGAAGTATTAGTTACCTGCTTTCAGAGAGATTCAGCCCAGTCCCCCAGCCAAATCTCCCAAAAGCTGTCTAGAAGATGGCTGGGAAATGAAGCCAGACAAATTCGGGTGAGAAACAAGGCGTGTAATTTAAGTTAGAATAACTATGGCAGTGGAGGGTCCTCCCCCTAAAAATCAGTTCTTATCATGACTGGGCACCTTGCTGGAAGAGAAGCTTTAGCCAAAACCAAGTTACTGAGTCCGGAAATCTAGGAGGCAGTGACGGATGAGAAATCAGATTGCTGGTGTTGGTCCCTTCTGGCTGTAAGCTTTGCATAAAAGCCTGAAGCGTGTTCTAAGTAGGGGGCAATTGCCTCGAGGATGGTCTTGGCCATCACCCCTCATTAAAAAATGGCTGTTCTCTTTGGCAGTACTACATCTTTGGGTCCCTATAATTAAATTTGTATTTAAATAAATATGTCTGATCTAATTGCTCAGGACACATTTTCCAGTGCTCTGGGTTGCTGTAATAAAGAAGGGGAGGTGCTGCTAGGCTGCTTAGAGCTTTACTATATTGAGCTGTCATGGGCAAATATATCTTCTATATTCTTGCCAGGAATAGAGGGAACAGACGGTGCTGCTGCTTCTTCCAGCTTGCAACGGTGGAAGCGGTAGGTTTTATGCAGAAGGCTATTCATGGCAAAGTGAGCAGACATCTCTTCCAGGACATCGATATTTCCTGCTTGTCCTTTTGTAGGAAGAGCCACAGCTATTATTATTTAACCAGCAGATCCAGTTTCATCTCAGATTCTGGAAGTCCTTCAGCTCCAGGGAAGGAGTGGGTGGACTAAAACTGCTATTACATTGAGTCTGGCAAAAGAAACGGGTCTCTTTCTTCTCCCACGACCAGCAGCAACTCCGCTGATGGCAGCTTGGTTACTCGTGATTTACAGCGGCGTGGGAGGATAGCAGAGCCTGCCCGTTTAATAGGCTGGAAGTGCAGGTGGCCGGCCCTGTGCACGGATGAGGGAGTGGATCTGGTACTTGCAATTATTGGCCTTTACTCAGGTGGATGGGACACCTTTACTTAACCCGGAAAAGGAATATGTATAATTTATATATATATATGTTCGATAAATAGCAGAGATGAGCTGCAGACCAGAGAGCGTTTGGTGGCAATGCACCCGGAGAAGCTCTGCCTCCTGGGAAGCAGGAGGGTGGGGTATCAGTGACTGTTAGGTTTCCCTGCCTTCCAGAAAAGGACCCACGTACCCTGTGCTCTCGCTTCAAAGGTATTCAGATGGAGACCATGACACCTCTGCTTTGAGGTGATGTCAAAACCATCTGTGGTCTTATCCTGATGATTGAAAAGCAAGTTACGTAGTACTTCATCTTTAAAGCACAGGGGAGCTCTTGGCTGAGCAGGAGAGCTCTCACGCATGGGTGGTATCCACCAACCAGTTGCTCGGCTGTCTGTGGCTTTGGTACGAAGTGATGTCTCTTGGCTCCTCCTGTCTTTCCACAGCCACCGCAGGCAGTGCCGTGCAGAAGGACAGCTGGAGTCCTGCCTGCAGTGGGCAGGAGGACCTGCTTCCCACAAAGTCTGAACTCCAGAGGGGTTGGTGCCTTGCGGGAGCGAGACACCAGCTCAACCTGTGCCCAGTGTCTGCTTGCAGCTTGCAATTTGGTGCAAGTTGGGAGTAGCTCCGAGCCTGCTTTTGCGCGAGGCAGCGCTTCAAGGTGGTGTATGAGCATCGGCTCATTAGAGCTCGTGCCCTGATGATAGACGATGTTACTCCTGTTCTCTATGAGAGAGTAGGAAGCTGGGTGCAAAGATGTTAAGTAGTTGAAGGTCATGTAAGTCGTGTCCATCCAGGTGCTCTTCCTCTAGCGCTCATGCTGTTTTGTTTCAGCATCATTGCCAGTACCAGTGTTAGGCATCCTAGTGTGTAGACAAGGCAGTAACATCTTTATCTTGTCTAGCTTAGATAAAAACTCCAGATATCCTGCTGATAACAATTCTCTTGGCAGATGTCCTATCTGTTCTCCCTCCTGCAAGGCGGGGGGAAAGGTAAAAGGGAGGCTCTGGTAGATGGGATTAGGGCTGTGGACTTCTGCAAGAAATTACAGCTTGACAGAAAAGACTTGCAAGTCAATGAGTTAGGACCGTGGTGTGCTGAGAAGGGAGATGCTGAAGGCCCTGGGCTGCAGGCAGACCTCTATCTCCAACGCTTGTGTGCCCCTGCTGATCTTAGCAGTGATGTGGGGAGAAAATTAACTGGTCCCAAACCAGTTAGTGCTTTGCCGTTCAAAACCAACACCTGAGATTCTCCTCTGTGTTTGGCACGTGGTCTGAACAGGTCTTCCCGCACCGCTTCCCCTCCTGCCCTTTCAGAAACCAGCTACTGAACTCAGCATCAGTGCCTGATCTGAAGAGCATTCACACCTCCTTGAGCTCTATCAGGGGCACATCAGGGAGTTTCTTCTCCCTTTTTATAACTCCTAGGATTCAGTACTCATTTCCAAGCTCTTTCTGAAGTATTTATATTTGAACAGTGTCTAGACTCTTCAGCTCTAGTGGGGTAAGTTGCAGAATTTGGGGAGTGTGAGTTCAGAAGGGGGCCTCTTCTTGCTGTAACCACTGAACTGCAGCATAGTAAGCTACTCGGAGGCGTAAACTGAAAAGTAACTTTTGCTTACTCTTTCTTTCTGTCTTGCAGCTATCTGAGCAAAGTGCTAACAGGATCCTTTGTTTTTTCGCTAGCTGGGCTTTGTGAAAGCAGTGTGGAGACCACGGCGAGAGGAGGCCAGTAGACTCTGGTGCCATGGAGCTTCCCAGTTACAGCAAGCAGCTCCTGCAGCAGCTGTACGCTCTCTGCAAAGAGCAGCAGTTCTGCGATTGCACCATCTTCATTGGGAACATTCATTTTAGAGCACACAAGGTAGTTTTGGCTGCTGCCAGCCTGCTTTTTAAATCCTTATTGGACAGCACAGACACCATTTCCATCGATGCTTCTGTGGTGACCCCTGAGGAGTTTGCGCTCTTGCTGGAGATGATGTACAGTGGCAAACTCCCACTGGGGAAACACAATTTCACCAAAGTAATCTCCGTGGCAGATAGTCTGCAGATGTTTGATGTGGCTGTTAGTTGCAAAAACCTCCTCAGGGACCTCATCAGCTGTTCGACTCAGGACCAGGTAGTGAGAGAAGTCTCCAGCCAGGCAGCAGACTTACCTGGAAACCATGCCGAAGCTCATAACCTGCCCCAGTCTGAAAAACCTGCTGAAGGAAAAACAGATATCCTCCTCCCTCAGAGAGTTTCCCCTTCTCCTGGCCCTGTAGAAGCAGAAATGGAAGCAGACGTTTCTCCTCCTGGCCAGGAACTTACCATGAATCACACCTGGGTTCACCAGGATGCGACGCCGAGTGACTCCAGATCCCTCCGGGAGGATTCAGGCTCTTGTCCTGATCAGCCTGTCCGGGCCAAGCAGGGTGGCAGAGCAGAAGAGGAGCTTGCTAAGCCTCTGGAGGAGAAAGGAGGAGCGAGGGATTTAGGTAAGACTTTACAGGTCTGGGCACAGCATTGCCTCTTATTTGCAATTGCGTTGACTCAAGTTTTCCTATTATGGGGATCTTTTCCTCTGTGTTTGTTCTTTTAGTTTGCCCTGAGTTGGGAGCGGCATGACATGTACCCCTTTTCTGCAGGGACTTTCTTCCTTTGGCACTGTGCAGTACTCTCCTTTGGCCTTTGCAGTTGCTTCACTCTCACCACTTTACCAGAGCCATAGTGAGCAAAACTTTTCTTACCCACGCACGTGATTGCATCTGACCTACAGTGGGATCTGCTTTAGTGCAGGACTTGAGGTTGACAAGGCAATCTCTATAACAGTAAGTGAACAGAGTTGCCTGCTAATGCTACCTTATCCTTTAAACTCCTGTTCAGCATGGGAGGAAAACAGAGGCTGTACTGGGTTTAAAATAAATGTTCCATTTATAACTGGTGTTAAATAAACTGTTGGTTTTCCCTCCAGGCTGTGTGGTATCTTTAGAAGGGATTTGTGAGTCACAGTTTCCCTATTAGAGCCAATGTGCTGGTTACAAACTAATGCCTTTCAATCACATCATGCTTTCTGTGAATCCCTTCAATTAGCAAATAACTCATCTTGTTTCTCTCACACAGCAGCAGAGAGTAAAAGCTGTAAACTGGATTTCTTTCTTCGATATGAAAGTGTTTTCTCTGAGGCCCTTTCTGATGCCCAAACTGTGCTGAAAAGACTAGAAGAGTGCAGAGGAATTGATGCCTCTCAAAAGGAGGTAGGTGTGTTTACTTGGGTAAATGATACAAGTTTTTTCTTCACCCTGCTGAGGGCTAGAATAGTTTGTGCCCTGTTCAGGAAATTGTTTCCTGGGCAACTGGGGCTCTGGTGCCTGGTTGTTTGAAGGGCAACACATGCTCACCTGAGCAACACCCCGGAGAGAAGCATCTGTAAGAGCAACCTGCACGTAGGTAAAGAAGTGTATGTCCTGCCCTGAAGACATCTTCGTTGTGTTGTAGGAGAGCTGCAGCGCTGATTTCTTTCCTCCTGTTTATGGCATTTGCTTTGGGAACTGTATCGACTTGTAAACGAGTGACATATGAGATCCCAAAATAGAGTTCCCAAGCCCTCAGCGAGGGCTTGCCGCGGAGCATCTGTTCCGCTCTGCGTATGGCAGGCTGCTCGTGGGGAGTGTTACGGGGGGGTTACGGGTGCTGCCCCGCAGCGCTTCTCCTGGTGATGTGCTGCTTTAAAAGCAGTCGTCGCTGATGAATGATGCTCGAGTTACTGTTGGAGGGGATATTTGAGTCTGGTGCTTGGTGATGCTGAAGGATACTCTGGGCTCTGAACAACGGTAGCCAGATACCAGCTGTCGTACCGGCTCAAAGCCACTACAGAAACAACAGGTTACGTCTGTATTGATGTAGCAGTGGTGCAGGAGGACACGGAGCTTGGAAATGATTGCGGAAATGATTGCTTGGAGGGCACTCGTGCTGACTGCACGCTGCTGCGTGATCGCGGGGTCTGCGAAAAAAGCTGTGGCCACTATGGAGTGAGGATGGGACTGTACTTGCTCGCCTCACCCCGGCTGTTTCTGATAGAGCGTTTTTTATACCAGGCTGCATGAACTGCCCTGTGTACCTTTTCTGTATGTGGAAAAATGAGAATATGACTGTTTTATTGCTAGCTTTTCATATTGCTGGCTCTTCAGCGGCTCCATGGTTAACTGACCTTTTGAAGCCAAGAAATGCTATTCCCTAGGTCAGGGGGCTGCGATGCTGTCTAGGTTCCCACGCGCTTGCTGCCTGGGAAGCTGTCTGGATTAAAGTCACTTGGTCCCTCCAGTACCAATATGACCATGGGATACAGGACATTTTGGCTATCATGGCATTCTGCTTTTAAAAACTTAAGGTAACATGTTTTTTAGAAAAAAACCCATATGACAGCAGGAAGGAGAATTCCCTTGAGTCGGGGAGTGCAGGTTTCTTTTCTGACGAGCCTTTAAATGTTCATGGAGGGAAGCCCATGTTCCCTTAGCTGCTGAGCCTCCCTGATGGTGTTGAATTTACATTTCTAGGGCTTTAGGAGGGAGATGTGGGTCCTGATTTGTGTTTGTAGCAGCAAGGCCAAGCCTGGATGGGCTGACAAGCACCTGTGAGCGCATTGCTCTCAGCATGCCTGCGCACCCTGAGAACGATTAGGTTTCTGTACATTTGTTCATCACCCTGATCAGAAAAATATGTCGGGTTTCTGCACCTTGGCGATTGGAGCAGAGCTGGGGAGGGTGCTGTGCGATGTGGATGGGCGCTGCCAGAAGGGATTTGGCAGCTCCATGCGCCCGTGCCAGCAGGCATCACGCATGCTGGCATGCCTTCCCTTGCCTTGTGCTGCCTCCATGGTCACAGGGCAGAACCGCACCTGCAAAATGCCCAGGCAGGCGTGCTGCCTTGCTTCTGCTCTGCATAACAGCCCCATTTTCTATTGCTTTGCAGTAACTGTTGTTTCATGTTTCTTCAGCACCTCTGAGACCCAGCAGGTGAGGTTCGCAGACCCTTTATGCTCCCAAATGAGCTGCTGCAGCAGGAGCCAAGTGAGAGGTTGTGGAGCTCAGAGACAGTTTGGGTGTCTGACCACCAAATGGCAGCTGGACAATTCTTCTGCAGCTATAAATAAATGCTGAATAAATGAGAAATGGATTTTCTTTAAGCCTTCCTGAAAAATCACTTCTCAGCTGTGACAAGCATGAAAAGTGTCAGCCCCAGGGCAGTGGGGGAGGACAGACTGCAGCCTGTTGTAAGCAAGGGTTCAGCCAGATCTGTCCCTCTCTGAGCTCCCCTCTGGGACAAGCAGGACCTGTGGGCACCAGCACCAAGCCTGGGCTCTCTTTCCAGCAGGCGGAGTAGCTTTTTCCTCACAAGGGCCCAGTGTTTTCTTCAGGGGAAACACAGTGGTGTGTTTTTAAAGTCATGCTTAAAGTGCAAGTTCAGCTCCAAAGAGCCCAGCCTGGGATGCGTAATTAAGGTTGAGATTGTGCCAGTGGTAGATGTCAATGGATTTTTTTTTTTTCCTTTCTCTCCTTTTTGTTTTTTTTTCCCTGCCCTTTTTTGTATTATTTTGCCAGTCATTTGCTTGAAGTCTCTTAGGTGCCTTGGAGCAAGTAAAAGTCGTTCTGGAAGCCGGTGAGATGCCGTTTCTTTGCAGTAAGCAGTCTTGCCCCATGTGCTTGCCCTGCCACAGGGAAGATCTCCCATCCCTTGTACATGTCCTCCTTCTTCTCAGGAGCCTTTTGTGGGTGGCTTATCTCTGTAGGTAAGCAGCGGTCTGTTTTTGACAGCAAAGTATGGGCAGTGTGGGGGTTCGTGGGGGTTTTGCAAGCCTGCCTGTTGACACCGAGGCTGTCCTGGTGTTTAGGCTCCTCTGGTTTCAGTGGCATTTTGCCTTGGACATAGCCTCTGAATTTCTATTCCTTTGCTCATGAGCTTGTCCCTACATGGGTGCTTTGTTCCCCGCGGTGCTCCTGCCTGCTCCCTTCCAGTGTTGCTGCCTTATTTCCTGCTACTTCCAGTGGAGATTTGTTAGGATGTGGGGTTTTTCCCCAAGGAGGTTTGTAGTGCAGGGCTTGCTTTTGTGAGAATTGTTGCTTCTCTCTAAGTTTAATGTTATGTTCTGCTCCCTGGGCTGAAAAATGCGGACGTGTTGCTTTTCTGTGTAGAGAGATGCAATTTTTGGGGTTGTTTTTGTTTTAGAGTCTCTCTGTGTATCTCACATAAACTATTCCTATCTAATTTGGTTCTGGCCTGGATGGAACCTGCTTGGAAATGAGAACAAGACTGAAATTGCAGTAATTTGGGGAGCATAGAAGAGCTTTGCTGGTGTCAAGTCTTATCTTCCCGTGCTCTCTTAGAGAAACTCAATTCAAATTATTGCACAGCTCATTTGTTCCCACAACTACTGGGTTCAGATGAAGTGGGGGAGTGTTGATTCCCCCGGGTAGAATAAATGTCACTGTGCTTGTGGATCATTTCCATTGCCTATGGGCCTGTCCAATTATTGTCGTCCTTCATTTGCAGCTGCAGGGATTTCTGGATGCAGCAGGAGAAAGAAGTTTCCCATTATCTTCTGCATCCTGATTAGGAGTGATAGGTTGTGAGGGTTTTATTTCATGGTGGCGGAGCTGGAGAACTTTTTGTCCCCCCCGTTCTTGCATACTTGTGTGGAATTTTTGGCTGAGCTTTTGTTCCTGTTGTGTGGAGCAAGCAGGGGTCAGCATTCTCCTCGGAGCCTTGCTGATACTGGGGTCTCCCTCATCGGTCACGTACAAATACAGGCTTGAAAAAAAAGCACTTCGGATATCTGAACCAGAAATAGGAACCTAGTTTTTCTCTGGTTATTGTATGCACAGTGATAGCTGACAGACTTCATGACACGGTCATGGCCTACGAGCTTCTCCGTGGTCCAGATGTGTGGAGCCAGTCCCTGTGCTGTCCGTGCCACCGACCCTGTGGGCAGCGGCTCTGTCTGTGCAGGTTTCCAACAGCTTTTTTATATTTTCTTCACCTTATGCGTATCAAAAATTAATCAGTAAAAAAAACCCAAAGCAGCTTGCATTCACAGAGGACTGATGATTATGTCTGTAGAAGTTTCCCTGCAAGAGGCTGTCAGGGACTTTGCAACTTGCTGAATGGCCAGCGCAGCTCTCCTTGGCGAATGGAGCTGGCGTTGAGGTATGGGCACAGGATTTACCACATCCGGGGGTGAATGTGCCTTGGCTTGTGAGGGGGGGGTCTGAAGGGAGCTAGCTTCTTTTGTCACCCTAAACCCCATGGCTTTCCAGCCTGTCTCTTGCAGATCCCTCCCCACCACCCTTTGGGTGTTTGCCTTTGCTCTAAAGCTGATGCTTGAGGGAGATCATTCAGTAATAGTCACTAATGTGGCTTTTTGCTGAAACATGCTCTCAGGGTGGGAGCAGGAGCACGGATAAGGCATGAAAAGCCATAACTCTGCTTGCCCACTTGCAGGGGAGAGGCTAGTGGCCAGCTGGGCTAGTGGCCACACTGACCAGTCCTCCCTCTCTCCCCACATCCCTCTTTAGTCTCAGTTATGGACCATTGCACTCTCGGGTGGGATGTACATTACTTGCCCATCTGGTTGAGGTCCTTTCCATGTCCCAGGACATCCCTCGGGATGGCACACCAACTGAGTTCAACCCAGCCCAGGCTCAGGGTCGCTCCCTGCAGCGCCAGCCTCCAGCTGCTCTTCGAGCATCCCTGTCCTCACCCAGAAAAACTTCATCTCGCGATCGTGTTGGAGGGGGGATGTCTGGATGTCCCAGAGACACTGTCTTCCTAGGAGTGTTGTGGATTGGTGTGAGGAGGGAGATTAACGCCGAGCTGGGAGGACACAGCGCTAACTCAGCTCTTGCCGAGCAGGTTGTGGCTCTGCATGAGCAGCTTCAGGCATCTTCCTAGCCAAAGTGGCAGGGGACTTTGGAAGGAGCAGAAGATAATAAGGAGCAATGGGGCAGAGCAAGAGGTCCTGCGATGGGACGAAGGGACACAGCAGTGTAGGAATTGATTGTGTTAGGAAAGAAATTTGGAAAAATGTGGAAGATGTGGAGATGATATGGAGATAGGAGACCTACCTCCTGCAGCGTTACCTGCAGTGATGCCTGTTCAGAGCTTGCCTTGGGGCTGCCGTGGACATGGGGAGGTTTGAGATGAGCTGGGAGGGCTGTTTTGTGATGTTTGACTGTAGCGGTCTGAGCTACTGAGTTAGTAGTGTTGTGGCCACCAGAACTGACGCCCTCAACTGGGACCCAACTTCTCAGTGGACATTGAACCTATTTGGTGGCACAGCTCAAGCTTAAGCCAGATCTTGGCGAGTAGGATTCCCTGCTCAGAGAGTCCATCTCTTCCTCCAGTCTGGAAGGTGGATGTGTGCTAATTTGTGCCAATTTGGCCACGAAGGGTTTTGCAAATGTCCCAGGCAGTGAAGGCCTAATGGATCAGGCTGTAATGTGTGGGCACGTTATGACTAAGTGGAAGCTGGGATTCGAGCTAGTATCGGTATTTCTCCGTTTTTTCCAGGATCTTTGGGAATTGTTAGTGCTTCAAAGTAAGTCTAAAATGCGCTGTGTGCTCTTTCAAAACAATGCTAAAAAGCTGTTGTTCCCACTGAGCAACGTGTCCAAGGAAAGGTCTTCTGAAAAGAGACTATAAATAGCAGAGCCTTTCAGTTTCTGCAAACTCATTTCCATTAACTAAAACTGCACTGAGGAAGGGGTGTTATCTGGACCTCTGGGCAGCAATGCTGTGCTGATTTTAATTAAAAAAAAAAAAAATTAAAAAGAAAAAAAATACCACGACAATGCAAGTTACTTTTCATCCATATTAGTAAAAACATGTATTTGGCAGGGTGCTGAGCACTTTTAGGATGGTGAGAGTCAAGATATTTTGTGTTTTACGGGATCATTTTGATCTGGAAGGGGCCAGGCATGCAAACCTTGAGAACAAACATGATCTGGTTATCAAGTCTCATTACAAATTAATGTTTGCATTAAAAAAATACCTTTAAGCTTGTTCTTCAGCACGTCTGCGGCATCTCCTTTCTTTCTTTATAACAGAGCCCTTCATGTCCACGTCTCTCTGTTCGGCAGGAAGAATGCCGTTAGCGGGTAAGAGCTGGGACTCCTGCAGCTTCCCCTCTGTGGATACTCTTTGCAATAGGTCATTGCGCTGTCACGCTGCCCTAATATATGAGCATTTACACCTGCTAGGAGAAGCAAGTCCACCATCCCCCTGGTGCGGCCCCAAACAGTTGCATTCAGTCTTTTTATCATAGAAATAAAAATGACAATGACAGCAGAAAATGGCCGCTCTCCCTGGAGCTGGGCTAAGCTCTCCACTTCAAAGGTACTTTTATAGCATCCCTGGAGTCTCTAATAAAGAACGCCTGCGCTGAAAGGCTGGCATCTCTCCTGGAGAGCTGGGGAGCGTGTGTCTTTAGGGGCAATATTTACAGCATTAAAGGGCGCCGGGGAAATGGGAGCAAGAGTTACAGTTATTTTTTTTACTTTTATTTTCATAACTGCACAGGCATGTTTGCCTCTGGTTACTGTTTTGGGTTACTGGAGTAAATTTTAGAGCTCTGGGCGTGATTGCCAGGCGTGCTGAGAGCCCACGACACTCAGAGTTTGTGTGCCTCCTCTCCAAAGCTTTCTCTAGGAGACGCAACTCCGTTGTGACTTGAAGATGGAGATTCCTGAAAGTCCCACTTAAAATGCTCTCTGCTTTCTGTGCAAGTGATCCCTCATTGTTCTGCAGTGAAATCTAGTATCCCCTGCCCTAGCCTTGGGCTTCCAAAGTAATGGTGTTTAAACCATATTTTCTAGGTCTCTTAGACTTATTGGCGTTGGCTGTTAGGGGAAGAAATGAAGAGATGTTTGGTGCTGGAACCAGCTCCAGTTTGTGGGACTTCTTATAATTATAAGAGCTGTCAGGCAGGGCTTGCTGCCCTCCTTTTCAGGACTGGTGGCAGCAGACCGGAGCTTGAGTACAATGGTGTTTGTCTATGTGGTTATTTTTTGTTTTGTTTAATTTTTTGTCCCCTGACCAAAAACCCCAGGATTCTGCTTTTTGTGTTGGTTTGTATAGGGCAGTTGACTTTGTTATTAAAACTTTCCGTGTTTGCCTGTTCTGTTGTAGGCTCTAGCTGCCTCTTTGGCAGAGGCAGGGGAGCAGTCGGTGTTCAAGAAGCTGCTGAGCAAAGTGAAGGATGCTCAGACCCTGGGTGCTGAGACCCAAGATGCTCAGACCCTCGTGTCTTTACTGAAGCTGTTTCAAGATGTGAATCCCAAGCTGAGAGTGGCTTTGCTGGAGAGGGAAGGAGGCAGCGGAGAAGCCCTGCAGCAAACAGGTAGAGAAGTGGGTGCAACCTCTGGCAAAGTGAGTGGGCAACCTTACAGGCAAAGCAGTTCTCCAGAAACCCTGTATCCTTACTGGGATGCAGGAGGTTTATCACGTGCTGGCCAAGATCCTGGAGCATTTCTGTCCTGCAGCAGCGGGGTGCAGGCAGTGCAGGGCTCTCCCCATTGCTGCCTGGAGGGCTGGATCGATGGCTGCGCAGCCAGCGTGGGTCAGAGCACAGCTGAGCCTCAGCATTGAAAGCTTCTTTTTTACTTGAGTCTGACACAAAGCAGTGGCCTTGCAAACCTGGTGTTAACCTCCAGCTTGCTTTATGGCTTTGTGCTCTGTTAGATAAATGAGACGTTTTCCTTTCATAGGGTTTAAAGAGAATAGCAAAGTGGTTTTCTGCTGCTGCTTGTGCTTGGGATGAGCTTTGCTATTCACTTAGATCTTTCACAGAGTTTCACTCGCTTCAGGAGCCTGTCAGTTCCTTCAGACTGACTTGTTTCTTCTCTTGTGTTTCTGAATCTTTTTCCCCCCAGAGAGCACAGACGAGGGAGAGACGCTGACTGCTCGCTTGCTGGGATGCAGGGAGGAGCTGATCCAGAGCGTGACACAGCTAAGCCCCATTGTAGAGTTCCTGGAGGCGGCAGAAGAGGGATTCCTGACCGCCTCGGAGAAGCGGGTAAAAAAAATCTGAAATAAGGAAACCTGTGTGGGCGAGGGGGGGTGTGTGTGTGTGTGTCTGCAAGGCACCATCTTACCGCATGATTTGCCAAGTGATGTGCTAGCCTCACCTGGCAATTTCACCTCCCTTTTGCGCAGCACGGACTGCATGTGTGTTGTCTCAAGTCCTTCTGCGCTGAACTGGGAATAACAAAAGCTGAGCTGCGAAGGCAACCTCAAGACCAGGAGGAACACTGCCTGGCGCAGTGTCAGACCACCCCTGTAAGTGGAGCCTGGGGCAGAGGAGGTGCCTGGTACTCCTCATAGGCCCTGAAAATGCTTTTTTTGTGAGCCCGGAGAAGGCTCTGTAGTGGAGTTTGGTTTTAGCAGAACCACTAAAATCTCTGTGCTGCCTGTCTACCAGTTATGTCCTCGTATACTCGATCATCAGCTTATCTTTCAGCTTTATCTCCCAACTTTAACTCTTTTCTTTAACTCTTATCACACAGTTGCCTGCAAGAGTAGCACATCCACTGACTTTTTTTTTTTTTCCATTTTTTTTTTGTGTTTAATGCAGCAGTTGGTAGGGAGGACTATTGCTTTCCTGTAAGCAATTGCATTATGTGTGCTGATTTGCAGAAGCCATAATGGACAAAATATTGTGTATAACCTAGTTTTTTTTGTGTTTTGGGAGGAGCTGGCTATACCCTGCCTGTGCAGCTGAAACTTGCAGGGTGCCCTAGCATGCTGCGTTCGGTACACAGCTTGCAGACCTCCTGTCCTAGTTTGTCACATCAGTTAGTTCCCCTGACGCAGGATTATAGCAAGTGGAAAGCACTGTTGTGCTCAGTGGCATGAATGATGTCTACTTTCTGTCTGAGTGAGCCTGACCAGAGCCATGACAGGTGGGCTGAGAACCTCTGCCTGTCTTGTAAGTCCCTCAATAATGTCTTGCTCACTTGCACGCAGTCCCTGATCGAGCGTTCATCGTGGAGCATCCCCGGGTAAGGGCGCAGCTCAGTGCAGGAGGGCCGAAGAAGGTGCTGCCAACAGAGGCATCCACCTTGTCCTCGTGGGCTAGGCTGTGACTGGTGGCTGATGAATTTTCCCCTCCGTAAGCAGCATGGCTGAGCCTGGAATGGGGATGTGAGAGGAGAGAGCGAGGCGTGAATGCAGCAAAGGACTCTGCATCTGCTGGGGATATTGCAGCTGTCAGCAGAGACCCACGCAAGCGTGCCTGGAGCTGAGCTCCTAGCCGTGAAAGCTTCATCAGCAGTGGGGAGGTTAGGATTTTTCATATATGCCTGTTCATGTTGCAGTGCGGCCTTTCTTTTAAAGGCTGCGCCTTTTCCCTGCTCTCTTCTTTTTGTCTTCATGAAATTAGATAGTTATAATACAGCCATTTTTTATCTCCCTTCCCATTGAAAAAAACCAAACAAACCAATCACAAACTAAAACCATTCTGCCATCACAATTCTGCCCCTTGGGCACAGGATCCAGCCTTTAATTGCATCGTCATATATTACGGGACTCCTGCCTTGTTTGGTGAAAGGGTAGTGTTATTCAGTATTTCTTTTTATCCTCTTCAGTCACTCTATGTTCCATTTGCTGCAGAGCCTCTAAACCCTACTCTGAATACAAAATCCTTCTCCTCTCTATGGGATCCCTTTGTACTCTTGTTTTAGCCCATGGGTTCCCTGCAAATAACAAATGTGTTTGGGGAGCACTCTGGTGAGGCTT